CTGGCTTCAGCAACGAGAACTTGCTCTTCCTCCTGAGTAGCCCTACAGCAGAGGCAAATCAGTGGTTTCGCTTCGTGTACAGACAAGGCTCCGAACGACCTCAGCTCGAGCCACACGGAGCGAGCCTACCATGGCCCTCACATAAAGTGCATTCACTCTTTGCTGGTCCCCGGTGCTCCCTTCCTCTTTGGAGGCGATAGAGGGGGCTCGCCACTTTGCTCAGAGGCCAGGAGTCTACCTTCACCGCACCCCCAATCGCCACCTTGCCGAGGGGTACGCACCCACCCTTGACACGATACGGCCCGAAGCACGTCTTCCTGCCAGCGATGGTCGAGGTGACGACTGACCCAGCAGGCTCTCTGAAAAAGGGGAAGCAGACCAACCAGCTCAACTTCGGACTTGACTCGGTTCGGTTTGACGCTCTCCTGCTTCAGATCGTCACCAAAGGGGACCTGGTGCTCGGCGACTACGTGCGGGAGTGGGCAGGTGCACTTGAAGTCCCGCTGTCAAATACGCGGGGGGCTTTTACAGCTCTTGGTCTGCAGATCAGCACACGAGCAAGCTCGGGGGCTGTATCGCTTTCGAAGCCATCGGGTGGAGATACTCCCCCGAAGGGCCCTGAGGGAGGAGTTTCTCCCCCTCAGGAGCCGAGTGGAGCAACTCCCTCATCAGTGCAGCCGGAAGCAGCCTCCGGCTGCGGGCTCAGGAGCATCAGAAAAGCGAGGAGGACATCATCCGAGCCCGGATGTCTAGGCGCTTACAGACAAGAAGCCACCGACTCCTCAAGTGCTTTTTCAATCGCTCTTTCTAAAGCACTGGCCGCATGCTTGAGGCACTTCCATAAGCCATAGGTCGTCAGGACCAATGAGAAAAGCCGATACGAACTCGGCCGCAGCTCGGCTGACGGCTGCCGATATATTAGGGCTGTCCAAGGACATTCACGCACAGACGTGGATGACGAGGCGATGCTAGAGGAGATGTCGGAGGAGAAGCTCCCCGACGAGATCCTGAATGGCACGCACTGGTCCCTGTTTGAGTGCATTCGGGACAATGGCGTCATTCCACCGGCAAGACTTTCGACCAAAGGAAAGAGTGGAGGAGGAGGTCGTGAAGGAAGGAAGGAAGGAAACACATACACTTCACTACGGCTGAGAACAGAGGTGCTTCCGGCACGTCAGGCTTTCGAGAGAATGCCACCTTGTTGCCGTTGATCCCAGAAAAGCAATCTCGCATGGGGTCGAATTCTTTCAGAGCAGGAATAAAGTTCTGATTATCCCAGATGATGTCCCTCCGGATTCGATCCTCTACTTTCAGAGCCAGAATCATAGAAAATATGACAGATGGGGCGCTACTATGTAGACCGTTTAAGACGGTCTTATCCTCCTTTGCCTCGGAGGAGTAACTCCCCGAAGTCGACTTTTCTCCAGGACCAGAAGGAGTTGCTCCCCTGAATATCTTGGACTCAGATGCATGGCCCCAAAACAAGTCAGCCAGGGTAGTATAGTTCACTGCGTGTCGTCAGTCTGAGTCACAAACAGCTTCCTGTTTTCTTTGCCGTTAAGGATCTGAGCATAGCCTGGCTTCCTTCGACTTCAATGGCCGAAACCCCTAAGCGTGGTTGGGGTAGGAAGGCATCAAGGACACCCCCACCGGTACGACGTGCAGAAAGGACCAGCAGATCCATACCTTCCAGCCATGAGATTGAGGACTCAGAAGGGGGTACTGCTCCACCGAGCATGAAGGCGTCTCCATTCGGAACACCAAGATTAGCCTCAGACCTACCACCAGCAGGACCACCACCACTGCGACCAGTGAGCTTTGCAGCAAA